TCAGCAGTTCAAACCGTTCTTGGGGTCCAGTGCTTTATCCTACACCACCACACCAGGATTTCTTGATGTTAAGTGATGTCTGAACTCGTTCCTGTTAACTAGTACATGCTCATGATATTTCAAGTGGGGCTGATGTACCTGTGGGGGAGAAACACAATTAGGCAGAGAAAACAGTGTATGTTAAGAGGTGAGACAGGCTAAGAGAAACATTAAGTAGCCCAGGGACATGGGAGGAAATTGCCATTTTCAGTAGAGGGGTCTGGGAAGACCTCACGTAAGAGGAAACTTCTGAACAAACACTTGGAGGCAAGGAGTTGGTGAACAGTTGATGGAAAGGGCTGGAACCAGTTTCTTGTGTAAAAGGACCTGTGAAAATTAGTGTGGCTGGATCCTGGGGAGCCAGGAGGGAAATGGAGAGAGGTCAGAGGTGAGGGGCTGGGACCAATTTCCTTTGGCCTAGTGGACTTTGTGAGTGAAATGGAACCACCCACCGGAGGGATCTGATCTGACTGAGGTGTTCCTCAAGGTTCCTCTGGCTTACATCTGGGGGACACACTAGTGGGTGTGGGCCTGGAGCTGGGAGACCAGGCAAGCAAGAGACAAGCATTGGGGACAGAGAAGTTGGGGAATAGGCAAGTTCTGGGTCAATTTTGCAGACTAAAGACAGCACGTGTGCTGTTGTTGGTGTGAGAAAAAGAGCTTTTAAGGAGAAGGTCAAAGCTTGGCCTCAACAGCCAAAAGGCTGGAGTGTCATTAACAGAGATGGAGGCGAAATGGGTTCTCGGTAGATGGATTCAGGTGCTCATCAGACCTCCCTGTAACAGAGTATCTGGTAGATGTAAGAGCTTGGCTGGGAAAATGCTTAACTTCAGCTATAGACCCCTTCCTCCCAGACCCCATGAGTCCCAGGCCCACATCCCTGGATGCCCATGACCCATTGACGATTGGGTGAAACTCTCAGGCTCTGTTCCCCAAAGTGGCCCCAGAGAGTTCTTTCTGAAGATGGTGTTGTTGTTGTTGTTAGGTGCCATAAGTTGATACCGACTCATTGCGAGCCTATGCACAGCAGAACCAAACACTGCCGAGTCCTGGGCCAACCTCACGATTGTTGCCAGCTTGAGCCCATCAATGCTGCCACTTTGCCAATCCATCTCACTGGGGGTCTTCCTCTTTTTCTCTGACCCTCCACCTTAACAAATATGATATTCTTCTCCAGTGTCTGGTCCCTCCTGACAATAAGTCCGAAGTATGAGAGATGAAGTCTGGCCATCCTGGCCTCCAAGGAGCACTCTGGCTACACTTCTTCCAACACAGATCTGTTGGTTCTTTTGGCAGCCCATGGCA